CCCTGAAGAACCCCGATGGAAAGATCCAGCTGATGTCCCTGGCTCTGCTCTGGCACACTCCTGAGACATTGAAGGTCTTCTGTATGGTGTCCACAAGTCTATTTTCTCTCTGCATTTCCACTAAAGTGAGCCGAGAGAGAGGCGTGTTGATGCAGGCATGCTTCATTCCACAGTGCGAGTGCAGTCATGCCTTTGTGCTGCACATTGCTATAGTGATGTTCCACCCTTCAGGCTTGATGTTAGGCCCGACAGCAGAGATATTTGACCGGACATACCTTTACACACCACTGACTCTCGCTCTGAGAAACTACCGCCGTTACACAATGAATCACAAATGTATCAGGATTATGCGAGGTGTTTTAGGAGCTTAAATAGAGAGCGCTTTCACCCCCACATACCTATGGAAGAGGATCTGAAAAGAAAGATCTCTTGTTTAAAGCATTCAGTTTTGAGCAATGCTATACAGACTCTCGCAGATTTCAGTAATACATTTTCCAAGGAATTTAATTTGGTCTTAACTTGCCTTTTTAAGTAATGACAGTGATTTGGAGATGGGTGTGACTCTCTCCAGTGTTTTATAGGCTCAAACGCACTTCTCTATGGTTCATTTCATGAGGTATTTTTTTCCAACTTGGGAGTCAGTGTTTTGTTTCTGCATCAAAAATGGTTAGTCTAGCGCTTGTGAATCTTACAGCCTCGAGCTACTGATTCCACAACCATTTCTTCTAAGCCATACATAATCTCAGGGCTCCATTAAAACAAACTACTTTTTACACAAATTACAAGATTTGTCAAACTGGACAATAACTTTATCCTAATGCTGTTGTAAAACCTAAACAATCTGCAACTGTAAAGCTGCTTTGAAACAATCCATACTGTTAAATGTGCTTTATAAATGAAGGTGACTTGACGTGATTGAGAAGAGTTCAAGAATGTTTAGTGAATCTTCTTAAGAACGATTGGTCTGTAAATCGGACCCCAAGGCTTGCACTGGGGTTCGTTGTTGCATGCACTGTAAAGATGTAGACAAACTGGATGTCCACAAAACCAAAGGGGACCAGATTATTGTTGGCACAATTTTTTTTTTTTTTTGTATTTATGACATAGGTGCAATCCTCCCCCATTCGGAATTTCAGTAATTATGAAATTCCAACTTGTAAACCGATTTTCTGAATTTTCTTAGAGCTCCGACAGTCCGACATGTACCAACTGATTGCTGCAACGTCATGCAGAACACACAAAATAGCAGCGGCTTCAGCAGTAAAATGTAGTTAAGGAGATATGTAGTACACAATATTTCTGTTTATTACATGGCTTGGTTGAATTCTAATGTAGAATGTGGTCTGTTATTTCTTGATAAAAAGACCGCTGCTAAGTATAACCAAAGTCCTTTTAGGCAAGTCATGCAAATCGGCCGCCATCTTGGCAACGCCTCTGGGCGGCTATTTCGGACTAACAAGACTAGGCTCCTATCTAGATGAATGGGCAGAGAGTCAGAACTGCAGTTTCACTGGTCACCGGGACATAAAAACTGCATGTATAGAAACAGCAGTAAAATATGATAAAAATCGCTGAAAAAGTTTTATGACTTAGTTTGCCCCAAAATAAGGTTTAAAAGGCCTTTTTCCCCACAGGTTATACTTTTACTACGCATGCGCAAGGGTTCTCTCCCTCTATCGTGCGCGCGCTACACAGTTTGAAGCACAGTATGTGCGAGCTCTTGCTCGCTCGCTTTAGATTCCGGGAGATTTTAACTAATTTGCGGGCATCAGGGAGCCGCTATCAATCTGCGGGAGACTTCTGATGTCTGATATTTACACAACTCACACATACACTGCATATCAAATCTGCCGCCTTTTCAAACAGTAACGTATTTTGCGCTGTCGCAAACCTCAACTGTGCGCATGCGTCAGTGGAACCAGACGATAGGCTTAAATGTTTACCGGCTTGACTGTTAAAAGCAGACGATTGGCTTTCCAGCGGGAGGGGCGGGACATGTGCATACAACCGCCATCTTTGGCGTTACGGGTTGTCCCTATATAGTTGTATTAAGGATTGATGAAGTGGCATGTCTCTATATAAATAGTCTCTGGTATAACCATATCACACCATTGCCATGAAAAACAGAGCGTTGCCATGGACACAGTTCTGTTCACTCTGGAGCAATACAATCGTTTTAAAATCAATAAACTCCTTTTTAATTCAATATGTTGTGTCAAATTATTGATTTATTTGGTAGGTAGCCATGTAATAACTGCGTTGGTGTCCTGATCAGCCTGTTGGGGTTGTATTCGCTATACTAACTGCCTCGCTATACATTATCCCTTACTTAATAGATCCTATAATAGACTATTGTATTGTTAATCATTACAATATTATTGTACATTATTAATGTCTTAATAATGTGAGTACTCTGAAAATAAATGAAAGACATACAATACAGCAATGTAGCAAGCACAGCGTTGAATTATATAATGTCCTGTTAAATAAACTAGCCTATACATTTATAAATAAGAAATTTGCATAACGAATGTTACTTCTTGTAATGTATGAAAGTATTTTAAGTCATTTCTTTCTTTAAAAAAAATATTACCAACCCCAAACTTTTAAACTAGAGTATATTGGATTTATATATATATATATATATATATATATATATATATATATATATATATATATATATATATATATATATATAAAACAAAGTAACAGCATTCCAGTAGCTCAAAAAAGAAGATCTTGGTGCTAGACACAACAAAGACATGGATTTGATTTCCAGGGAACACATGAACTCGTTACCGATAAAAATGCAAACCTGAAAATGTAGCGTAAGTTCTGCTAGATAAAAGCATCTGCCAAAGGCACAAATGTACAGTAATATCACAGAAAGTTGCACTTTGTTACAAATTACAAGATTTTCTCCAATAACATAGCATTATAAAGATACTCCTCTACGGCATGCATACCGTAAGAATGAATTCAGCCAAAGGCTGCAAGCTGTCCTCTCAGTTTGTGTGACGAAAAGGGGAAGTGAGAGGAAAGTGCCAGAGAAAGCTCATGGGAAGCGGGACTGTGGACATTCCCGTCTGCTCCCCTGAGCCTCATTGATTTGAGCCGTGCCAGGCCTAAACTAACGAGCATAGCCTATATTTGTTTTTCACAGTTGCAGGCTCGCTGGCCAAAAGTAAACATAAGCTGCCAGTGACTATGCATGCAATGTGGGTCAGTCTCGGACTCCTCCATATAAGTGCAAGAACATCCCTATTCACTAATCACCGCTAAACCAACAGACATTATGCACTGATACAAGTTCAGTGACTTGTTGACTCTATCACATATCATTTCAGATGCATTTTTTCCAATTCACAAAATTCTAGCTGTCCTCTGATAGTGCTGATTACAATCTTCAAGCACTAGAGAACACTGAAGACAAAAAACCAACAGCAGAGTGCCTCCACTTCCTATTACTCACATCCCCTCAGTTTCTGATTGGTGGACGGATAACAAGCATTTCCTGATCTTACTAGCCCCGACCACTATAGGGCACACACTTGCACTTCATCTGACCAACTGGACCAAAACAAAGATATCAGAGCACGCCTCTCTTTTACAGATGTGTGGTTGTGTACTGTAGAGGAACTGTTTACAGGAAGACAGAGCAAGGGCCTTTTGTATTTGCAGCTTCTATAAAAGGAAATACTGAGCAAGACTTCCTGAAACAAGCCTGGCTGCCAACCTCCTTCCAAGTTATTGGAGAATGAAGGCATGAATTGGTCCAGAGACAAGAAACAAGCTTTCTAACCGCCAAATTATTGCTTGTCATCAACTAAATTAAAATTACATCATAATTTGGTCTTTATTTCTTCTGTGGAACCTAAAGAGATGTTAGGCAGAATTCTCTGAGGGAACTATCAGCCTCAGCCTTTTCCCATACAACAAAGGTGCATGGTGACTTACATGGTGCTATTTTGCCCAAACATCTAACGTTACTTAATGTCCCATGAAGAAAATATAATCATCGCATGACAATCATGCTGAAACATGATAGAAATGCCCCCCAAAAGATGAGACTGAAGTGTCACACATGCACATTTAAACAAACACTAATAAAACTACAACTAATGTGTAAATAAAAACCCTTTCTGAGCTTTCTGGAAAAAAGTATTGCTTGGCTTTGCTTCTGTTGACTATTATCCACTTGATTTAATTCATATTACTTTGTGGGGGGAAACAAGCCAGAATAAATCAAACAGTCCTGCATTATCAAAAACAAGACTGTCAAGGAGTTATAAAAACAAAGGCGCAATGATAAACCATCAATAAATATTATACTTTTTAAATCGCAAGTGATCTGCGTACTGCTGGCAGAGCAAATATCAGGATTAGACTAGTTTAGCATTTTCAACTCACCAGAACTCCCGCAAACCTCTTCAAAGTTTTAGCTCCGCCTTTTCACGTTCATAAATTTATTTCGCTGCAAGTATAATGAGAATATCTCCCTAGAGATTATGATTTTGGACGCCGTTTAGTTAAACTAACGTTACTTCTCTTGGACCCGGGATCTGTCTGCTATGGCGGAGGGGAAGCGGAACTGTCGACCCAGCCCAATGTTTGTACTTCACTAAACGTAGCTTTTTAGGTTGGAGAGTTTTTAAACTAATCTATTATTCATAAAAATCTAAATAAAAATTATTAAATTGCGCGAAATGTTGAATGTAATAAGAAGGTTTCTGCAACCTCAAAACTACTACTGTTTGCAAATGGGTTCCGTCCATGAGTTCAGACAGCTGTTGCATGACGAGAAATGTAGTTTAGATCTTATTGCACTGCGCTTAGGTGGCGTACTCTAAAACTACATTTCCCTACACTGGTCGGATTTGCCAACGTAAGGGTTTCATATAAGTCCTACGAGAATCAGGCGTTATTTAAAACTTTAACTTTTTATAGGTAGTACGATACAAGATTAAATGGCTTAGACAAGACATAACAAGTAACAATGGTGAGCGTCATCATAAATAAACTTTATTTTTAAAGCTATGAAAAAGAGATCCAAACCCTCTGCTGGCAGCAACTGGAAAATACATTTTATTCTTCCCGTTGTTACATTCATGGTCATCTACATAGCAAAGAAGAAAGGCACTGATACAAAAAGTCAATTGATTTCCACTGATTAGGATATTAACCAAGAAAGGGACTAGATATTTGATTCAGGATACATGTAATATGCTATTTTTTTCTCATATCTTGGGTACATCTGGGACAGTACCTGTAATTGGAGAACAAAATATTTGAAAACTGCAATATTAACTACAAAGAGATGTCACTCAGTATGTGGAGTGTGCAAATAAAAGTAGTACAAAATAAGGGAAATTAGCTCACCATTTTCCTTTTGGTTTGGTTGTTAGGCCGACACAGGCAAAGTGAAACCATTCTATTGGACACTGTTAAAAGAGAAGAAACCCTTTTGAAAAGTCTTTTACGTTAACAACAATAATAAGAGGACTTCTGTTATTTACAACAATGTCTATCCATTATTCCCACTGGATATTATGATGAATATTTCAGACCATTCATGCATGTATATATATATATATATATATATATATATATAAAAAACACATTATTACTCACATCAGAATTGTCACATCCAATCATTTCTCCATATGATACTTGACTACACAAACAATATGTGGGTTCATTAGGGTCTACTGGCATATCCAGGACATCTGATGGATGCATGGCAAGCAGAGATTCACTTATGTTGGAACTAGTGAGAGAAAAGACACAAAGAAAGAGTTGAATACAAAGCCTTATAATAATATACTTTTGCATCAGTACAATGCATCCCTGTATATAAAATCACTGTTACCCAGCTTTCAGTTTTTTCTGCTTGGGTGAGTCTTGATCTGATCCTTTCTTTTCTCTTCCATTAGATCCCCTCTTGTCTTTTATATTCTTATCCTCTGAAACAACAAATTAGTCTGTTTAGTCTTACCCTAAATTACAGCAAAATGGATTAAATGGGCATTAATTGTATCTATGTACATAAACATCCATATATTCTGAACAATAAGACTTACTTCGAGATTGCTTTTCATCAGAGCTATCCGGGCTACCTGAGTCCAGTTTTTCCTGCAGATCATTCTCGAAGCGTGCAAGATCAGCATCCAACCGCCGAATGTGTTTATCCACCTGGAAATACAAGCAGACTTGTTTTTGCTTGATGCATGAAGTAGGACAAGCAAATATAAAACGGAGGACTCTGCATCTCACCATTTCATATATCTGCATTGCAAGCTGAACTTTGTCATCGCTGTACTCTTTGCATTTGCTGTAGGCATTTTCAATCTTCTTTAAATGCTGGACACGCTCCTCGGATGGCATATTTCTAACATTTCCAATATACTCAGAAGCTAGTTCACTTATCTCTGCTTTTTTCTCTGTGAAAAACAGTAAGAATGTAATTGATTAGAGAACATTAAAAAGTTATTTCACTGTACTGACCTGTAATGAGTATTTTGTGATACTGATCCAAACATTACCTTCAGTTCTATTATCCAAATCCCCCATTAATGAAAAGTTTCTCTGCAACTCGCAGGGAAGTCCCTCGATACCTGGAATGAATGATTATATAAAATGATTAAGTTAGATGCACAACATTATGCAGTCACACAGTCAAGTATACTTCAGCAGTTTATCACATAAGACTGATACATTTGTTTTGTAGAAACAAAATTAACTCAGAAGAGCTGCAAGAGTTTGAGTTGATTACATTGACAGATTACTTGAATTAAAATGTGGCAACAAGTTTAGAAGATTATCATTTAGGAAACTTACTGTCTAAATAGTGTTCTAAATACATTCCTTTCGCCATTTTTGTTGGTATAGGCTTTGTACTGAAGGCGTGTCCGATGGTTTATTTAGCGCGCGCTGATTTCCTTTCCTGGAGTCGTTGTGCAGACTATTAGATTATTATATGAAATCGATCAACCATACTGCTATTACGGAAACAGATAAGACTGTCCATGTGGTTTGTAGCTCATATATTGTAGCGTAGCATCTTCATCTGTACTTCATCAAGGAACAACTTGCTCTAGATCGCCCTCTACTGCAGTGGAGATTTGTTTCGGTTTGCTCGCTGCTTCTCTCTCTGGGAAGAAATAAATAAATTATAGCATAGTCAGTAGATTTTGGTGGTGGGTATTATACAATTTTAAGTGTATATTATATACTATATCGTTGGTTTCTTAATATTAACTCCTACCTTATGTATTTTCTATCATTCTTGAAAAGTGAGGGACAAGACAACGTGATGATACTAGTTAGTATGTTCATAACTCACCACAAGGTGGCAGTGTCGTCTTAGGAATCAAGTGAAGTGCTGTAGTGAAGTGACAGGTTGCGCCTCATATGAAAATAGCCTACAGAATAGCCTCATATAGTGAAATAACCTACAACAGATGGTTTAACTACTGAATTTGTTCTGTATTTTCTCTGTATGAATACAGCAAATGGACATTGGACATGGTGGAACGGCTGTCTAATGGAGTTAAGTTATATAACAGAGGCCTGAAGTCATCCTCAGCAGAGGCACACTGTGACCAAATCACATTCAACCCTCATGCAAAAACACTACAGATGTTGGGCTGCAACACCATAGACATATATTTTAAATAGATTAATATTTTGGGCTAAAAAAAAAGGCAAAGAAAAAATATTTAGCCTATTGGACCAGACATTCCACCATTAATGGCATGCAATAGGATTCAATTAGGCCTACCTTTAAATCAAAGAATGTGCTTTAAATTGTGTATATGAAGCAAGCCCAATGGTAATTTTGTTGTTGTTAAAAATAATATGAGAATAATGTTACAAGAAACTACAGTGTAAACCAATAGGTTGCCTGTGAGGCAATAAGGAAAGTCTACATGTTAATGACTCCTCCCAGGTTTTTGGTATAGCATTTCTAAGTGATGGAAGCAGTAACAAGACCTACCATAGGTGTTTAAGGTCTAGTGAATATCTGTTATTTTGCATATATTTAACACTGCAATAATGGCACTGTGCTACAGTAATATACTTTTTGTGACAGCATTCATCCTAGGTATGCATTTGGACTTTCTTGATTTTTTCAAATCGTAAAGTTATGTTTTTGTGGACAATGATTTATGTTTGATTGTACAGGATGCACAGCACAGGACAATGTAATACAGTCCAAGCAAGTTATGACAGCTTTGAAGATGGAACAGCCATTCTTGACTGCACTTACAAAGCAACCAGCACTCAGTATCCAAATCTCTTCTGGTACCAACAGAAGACAAATGAATCACCAAAATACATGCTGATGAGACTTTCTGGATCGAGCAACAATGATGAAGAGTTTAAGCGGAGATTTAATGCAGATCTCAACACATCTGCATTAACAGTTCCTCTGACAATCAAGGATGTGCATGTGTCTGACTCTGCTGTGTATTACTGTGCTCTGAAGCCCACTGTGAGAAAACTGAAGTCAAACCACATACAAAAACAAAAGAGCAGAAACATGCTTATGGATGGTTTAGTCTGTGCAACAGTCAAATAAAGTCTATGCTGATGATATTCTTCTAGTTACATCATCATCATCATCATCATCATCATTATCATCATCATCATCATCAATACATTTATATAAGCAGTGGTACATAACAGATTTCTTTTTACATTTTTACTTTCAGAAAGGAAAAAAATCTATTTTAAATAAATGCTGTTCTATTAAATTTTCATCAAAGGATTCTAAAAAAAAAGCATCACAGTTTCAGAAATACTAAGCAGCACAACTGTTTTCAACTTTGATAATAATAATAATGCTTCTTGAGCAGCGAAGCAGCTTTTTAGAATCATTTCTGAAGGATCGCGTGACACTGAAGACTGGAAGAATATGTCGAGGCTTCTTTCAAAAACATTTTAAAAACGTACTGACCACAGACCTTTTAATTGTATATTATGGAATCATATAGTAGATGAAATTATAGCACGAAAACATACAAATTAGTGTGATTGGCTCTTTCTTCTGTTCCCCATGTGTGAAATACATGTTGCTCAGAGAGGAGGGACTCAGAGTTCACAGATCTGACATGATCTCATCGTGTCTGAAAGAGACTGTGGATGAAACGATTCAGTCTGACTCTTCTCACAGTGAACACGTGAACAATGGATCTTCATTCAGTTATTCTGTTCTGTGCTTCAGCTGGTGTGTATTCCTTTGATTGAGGTGTGTATTTCACAAAGAAATCTTTCCATTAAGCAACACATTCCTCTTCTGTTTCAGCTGCTGTCTTTGGAAATACCATCAAACCAAACAAAACAGATGTTGGTGCTGATGAGGGACAAAATGTAAAGTTGTCCTGTAGTTATTCCTCCACTGGAGGTACAGATTATCTCTTCTGGTACCGTCAGAATGGAAGATCAAATCCTGAATTTCTTGTATCAACCCACAGTGCTGCAAATGGAGCTCAGGTGTCTGGTATAGATTCAAGACTCTCTGTGGAAGTAACAAAAAGGGAACAAATCCATGTGTATCTGGAGATCTCCTCTGCTGAAGTGTCAGACTCTGCTGTGTATTACTGTGCTCTGCAGCCCACAGTCACAGGAAACACAGAAACACAGTACAAAAACCTTTCCTTATTCAATCCAGTGAGAACAAGCAATAGACACAGAAACAGAGTGAATGAAGCATTCTACACATTGTTACATTATTACATTTAATCCATAAAAAATTGGAATAATACTTTCAATGCATTATCACATGTAACAGATTGTGCAGGTTTAATGTGCCACAAGTACATTCAAATATTAGAATGTAGTTAAAATATTATTAATTATATTGTTATTTTATATAACACACCAGTGTTCAGACATTCATGAAGTACAACAATGAACAATACAATTTTAACTACATTTTTATATTATAAGAAACTATTAATAGTTACTATTAATGAAGGTTAAAAGCTTTGGTGTTAAACTCAGAGATCAGAAGTTCCTGAATGTCTTGATAAGTGAACAGCAGAAAGCATCAGTGACACACAGTAAGAGCACAGAGCACTGAGAGCTTTAACACACAACTGATCTGATCATGTTCACCATGAACAAATACATGCTGCTGGTTTTCATGGTGTCAGGTGTGTCTTATGTTTACTTCCGATTATACACTGGATGGTATTTTATTGATTTTCTTTTTAAAAAAAATTGACAGAGTATCTTTATTGCCATAATGTCTAAATTGAGAAACAATGAGTTCATATTTAGCTTAATGTTTGCAGATGTGACGGCTGTGGATCAAATTGAGCCAAACCGAGGGACCGATATCATTGAAACAGAAGGAGAGTCTGTAACGCTGAGTTGCTCATATGATTCAGACAGTGAATATGTACGTCTGTACTGGTACAGACAATATCCCAAAGGACAGCCTCAATATTTATTACGTGAAGGAGCTCGATCAAATAATGCTAAGCTCTGATTCTCGATTTCTGTCAAGTACTTCTCGCATATTCACTGAACTCATTATTAGTAGTGTGACTGTGTCAGATTCAGCTCTTTATTACTGTGCTCTAAGAGTTAAGGCCCAGTGATGCAAAACATTAAACAAGTCGTACAAAAACTTACTGCCTTTTTCACTTTGAAGCTCAAATGAAAACCAAATCAAAACCTCAATGTAAGATAAAAGCAGCAAACACCAGTGTGGGGTGAATATGCTTTTATAAAAGGAATAAAATGGCCTTTACTTTTATGACCTTTCAAAAAGTTAATAATGCTTTAAGGGTTTAGGGTTGCAGCTGTGTGTTAAAAATGTCGAGTGCTTCCAAGTATTACACTTGATATTACACTGAAAATTCTGTCATCATTTACTCACCCTCAAGTTGTTCCAAACCAATATGACTTTTGTTCATCTTGGGAACACAAATGAAGATATTTTTAATGAAACCTAAGCGATTTCTGTCCTTCCATTGGCAGCTACGCAACTATCACTTCAAGCTTCAAAAGTTCATAAAGAGATTGTAAAGCTAATCTATATGAATTGAGTGGTTTAGTCAAAATGTCTGAAGAAACCGGATCGCTTTATATGAGGAACAGATTGAATTTAGGCTTTTATTCACATATAAACATTGATCAGCGAACATAAACAGAAGCTCAACCAAACAAACCTTGATGAGCGAGAACAAACCTCATTGGTTCTTGCAGAAGCTCAAACGTGCTGTCTAACACACAAGAATGAACCTCATTGGTTCACATGAAAATGAATCTCATTGGTTCTTGCGGAAGCTCAAATGTGCTGCGTAACACATAAGAATGAATCTCATTGGTTCTTGCAGAAGCTCAAATGTGCTGCGTGACACACAAATGAACCTCATTCTCGAATCTCGCACATCAAGTAAACATGCTTATGCTTCCGTTTACCATAATTGATGTGTGTGTTGATGAATGTTTATATGTGAATAAAAGCCTACATTAAATCTGTTCAGTGTATAAAGCGATAATGTGATATGAATTGAACATATGAACTTGCAATCAATACATTTTGATCACAAGATAAATCGTATTGCTACAACATAAACAATTGTGAGATGATTTTTCGCTGGAAACATAAATATGTTTCATATTTTTGTTTTTAAAGCTTACTGTGACAAACTGTCTGACACCAAATTATGACTAAAGTTCATTTTAACTCATTATTACAAAATCCATATGTACCCAATAAACTATGAGCCAAATAAGAGGGAGGAGTCAAAGAAATCTCCTCAAGCAGACACTAAGTGCTCTTGCTCATTACAGTATTTACAGTCATTGTATCACATAGATCAGGGGTGAGAATAATATCTAGATTTAGATGAGACTTAATTAAAATCAGATCAGAAAGATGACACACTGGATTCCAAAAAGTATCATTGTTTTCATATATGTCTGGGGTAAGTGTTTTGTGATTAATTCTTTTTAATTCTCTTCCAAGTTATTCTGAATGTTAATTATATTTCTTTCCTGATATTGTTCATGATTTGATTTTACAGGAATAGAATCGCAGGAGAATGTTGAGCAGAATATAAGAGTTCAAACTGCTTATGAAAGTGGAGCTGTAATAATCAACTGTACATATCAAACCCAGTTCTCACCGACACTCTTTTGGTACCAGCAAAAAGTAAACGGAGTTCCTAAATATATGCTGAACAGAGTTGGTAAAACTGGAGACGAAGACAAAGAGTTCAAAGACAGATTTAATGCACACATCAACACATCTTCAAAATCATTTCCTTTGACAATCCAGGATGTGAGTGTGTCAGACTCTGCTGTGTATTACTGTGCTCTGCAGCCCACTGTGACTCAAACACACTCAATGCTCATACAAAAAACAATATTGTCATCATGCAGTAGCTACAGGGAGCCAGTAGAGGGAGATCAGTATCATTTGCTGTTATGTAGGCGATGAGATCTCACACTCTTTGTCAGGAACTTATTATAAAAACCACACACTGAATGCAACCAAACTTGTCCTATCTCATTAAGAAGTAAATGGTATAAATAAATGCATGTGTCCCACTTGAAGAATTTTTAGTTATTCATCAGACAGCATCCACGAGTTCACTTGCCCATTTAGCCTGAAATAAAGGTAAACAGATGGACGGCTGGTGTGATGATTGACAGGACAGAATGATCAGGCTCCCCAAAAACTTACATTATAAACATGTGGCTAAGTCAAACAGCTTTATCTCTACCTTTCTTTCCATGTGCTCTTCAAAATGTGTTAAAATGCCACATGTTTATGCAACAAAACAACAAGCTGTTTTGTTCTCAGGCAAACAAAGTTGTTCAACTGTTTTCTTAATGTCTTAAAAATGAATAGATTTCATGTTTAAGAGATGTAGAGAAACTTGGAAAATTAACATTTAATTTAATACAACAAACATTTTCAGAATAAATGTTGTCTTTTTTTAAATCTCAAATGTAGTATTCTGATTCATCAAATGTAATGGAAACTGGGAGAAACTGGGACTGATCAAACTGCAGTTCTTTTGCAGGACTTACAAGGTTTATTACATATATAACATAAAACACGAACATGAGCGTAATTGGCTTATGTTTTTGTAGTGTGAAGGACAGGGCTCAAAAGGAGGGAATTCACAGATCTGACATGATGTTAATTGTCTGAGAGACAGTCAGACTCTTTTCATTCGCTCTGCTCTGTCTGGTGTTTATTTGTTTTGTTTTTTGTCAACAATGTGTTTTACTGAATTAAAAAAAAAATTATTCTAACTCACAATAATCTACTGTGTATACTTTTTATTTTTCAGTTGCTGTCTTTGGAAATATCATCGAACCAGGGAATTCTGATATTTTTGAGAAGGAGGGTTAGGCTTTTCTATTATCCTCCATTTATTCCTCTTCAACTACAGATGATCTCCACTGGTATCATCAGTATGGAAGATCAGAACCATGAATTTCTTAATGAATGATGAAGCGGTTACAGGAATACAGACACACAGGGAAACATGAACTGAACACAGTGAAAACTAATCTAGAAACAGACATGAACAGAACTGATCAAAAACAAACTCTAAACATGAACAAACAAACACAAAACCTGACAACAGGATGGCAGAGTAGCTAAATTCACATAGCGAAACATATAATAGATTTATAGTGTAATAATAATAAAATTGTAGTTAGTAATAGAAAAATAAATGTAGAAATTCAAATTTAAAGGAGCTGTATGTAAGAAATTTATTTCAATTAATCATAAAATGGCCCTGAAATGTCACTAGACATTAAGAAATCATGTACATTTCAAATACTTATATCACTGACAACAGTAGTCTGGCCAGGATATTGTCATTTAAAAAGTGCAGTTGCAGCCCTCAACTGATGTTGATGTTGTCATGTTGTGTTTTGGTCTGATGCTCCACCCTCCACCTATCTACCAATCACGAAGTCAGTAGTGTTGCGGCATCCGGGTTGCCAGCTCTGCTCTAGTTACCACAGCTGCAGCTCGTCACATTCCTGCTGGATCCTGCAGCCGATCTGGCAACCTCGAGTCAGGGAGGAGGGGGAGAGGATACACCACTCTACTGTAATTTGACAGTGATTGCAGTACTAGTTTTGGCCACAATCTTACATACAGCTCCTTTAACATGCTCTTCAGATTGTGAAATATTGCTTTTGAATAATCATTTTATACACAAAATTATATAATAGTGCAATTATTAAAAAATACAAACAAATATTATAACAGAATACAACGTATGGATGAAATTAAACAGCAGCAGGAAGTTCAGCGAGGAGGAAGTTCCTGTGTGTGTTTAACAACTGTTAAATGAATTAGAGTTTATTAAGTGCCGGTTTCAGATAAGCAGACTGATTTAGCCTACAGCGTTGCTGGCACATATAAGGAAATATTAGACGGATGCTGACTTACCAATCAGAATCAAGTGTTCTGAAGCGTTGTTTTCAGTGTATAAAAAGTGATATAAGCTAATCAAATACATGGATACATACTTACATCTTGAGATTCATTACTATAAAAAAATTAAGTGATAGTACAACATATTACATAATCTACAGTCTTTATTGGCTAATACTGTAGCACAGGCTCCTCCCAGCAGTCAGAAATGACTTGAATTTATTGCTGCTTTAACAGATGCAGAAAGAGGATCACAACATCTTTGCGCATAGGCTATAGTTGGTCATTTCAATTGTGTATAATGGCACTCTGGAGAAGTCCCATTGTGATCATATTTTTATATATCTGGGGTGAGTAGCACTATCAAATAATGATTCTTTTCTAGCTTATATATTATAATAAATGTTCATTATGTGTCTATATATGTGCACATTCCTTGCAGCCAATGGGAAATTTCTATTCATATTGTTTCAATTCTATTTCAGGATGTAATTCTCAAGACAAAGTTGATCAGCATACAAAGATTCAATCTGCTGTTGAAGGTGATGATGTAACAATCAACTGCACATATCAGACTGCTTACACAAACCCGACTCTCTTCTGGTACCAGCAGAAAGTAAATGGATTCCCCAAGTACATGCTAAATAAATTCTCTAAAACCGGACAAAATGAGGATGAATTTAAGGAGAGATTTCAAGCAAATCTCAGCAAAACTTCAGTTCCACTGACAATCCAGGATGTGTGTGTGTCTGACTCTGCTGTGTATTACTGTGCTCTGCAGCCCACTGTGACTCAAACACACTCAACACTCATACAAAAACCCTCACAGTGCAACGGCATAAATTACATCATGCAATTTCAATTTATATTAGAATAAATTGCTTAGCCTATACGATTTCATGTTTAGCTTTTTATCCATAACTATATACTTTTTTATTTAAAAGTTTACATTCAGTTTATTATCTAATTTTACATTAGTTATATTTACATTTGTATCAGTCTTTCCTTACTGTTGTTGGTTTCAATTGATTTCATATTGCTCCTACCATTAAAATAATATGAAAAGCCAAGAATCTGGTTATTGCTAAAATCTATTTTGTGAAGATCAATGCATGTGCGGAACGCTATGACAGACCAGAAGAGGGCGATATACACTTAACATTGTCATTCAAAGATGTGTTCATCTTTAAAGAGTTAAAATATGAGTTTGGTTAAATGTTTAATAATTTAACTGTAATTAATGAGGACTATAATGTATTAGGTGAAACTAGGGCTTTATTGCAAAAGTAGGGCTACATAAAAATCCACCATATTGAAGAAGAGAATCTTTATGATTAGATGAGCTTTGATTTTTTGTATGTCTTCTACAGTACAGCATTATAGTATGGTTATGGTCTATTATGGATTTATATGTATACTTACGTGTTCATTAAAGCAACACTAAGTAGGATTTTTTTACCTTAAAATAATGTTTCCAAAATCGTTTCAGTGGTTCATCAAGTTGTAACAGGGTGAAAGGCACTTATGCCTCCGCTTTGCGGTCCTAAATCTGCTACCACACTATGTAAGATTGCCAGATCGGGTCGCGTTTCTGTAGTTCTAATGAGACATAAGAAAAATACAAATTTGACTTGCTTTACGTCAAGCGTTACAATAGTCATTATTTTGTTTTTCTTCGTTTCTGATGTCGCAATACATCATACTTTCATGAAATCATGCAACATACTCTACCTTGTCTGTGGACATCGTTCATTCCAAAGCTGGATAAACAACGAGCGTGCGTGCGACAGTAGCGGTAGGCTAAATTATTTACAACAGCGGTAATGGACAATTCCACTTCCAACCTTTAGGGCGACCGCAGAGGAAAAGTTACTTGGTGTTGCTTTAACTAATGTTCTCATCCTCTTACTCTGACAGATAGGTGGAGCCTGTGAGATCTGATATAGAGCAAACTAAACTCTCTTTCTTCCTACAGTGCAAACATGAGGATCCTTTATGTTCTGCTTCTGCTATTGTTGATAAAAAGTAAGAGAAATTTACTGATTCTAGACCTGATTTACTGATATGTACTGATTATATTTAATCACATGCTTTCTTGTTTTGTACAATGTTTGGAGATTTAATATTGCTTGAAACTTTTTTAACTGACTAATCCGCATGATTCTTTCTTTGGGTAAGTTTGATTTTAAAAAAAGTGTAATGGTTGTCTTGCAGGAGAGACGTTTGCACAGTCAATAACGCCGCAGGAAAACAAGGTGCTTAAATCTGAAGGAGAAAAAGTCACTCTGTCCTGTAAATATGATGGAGCTGTAAATAACCTGCACTGGTATCGTCAGTATCTGGGATCCAAACCAGAGTTCCTCACATTCATTTATCCACATGGAACCACGAGTGACCATCTTCCTCCTCGTCTTTTACCTAAAGTCGATAAAAACAACAATTTTGTGAGCCTGGAGATCTCCTCTGCTGAAGTATCAGACTCTGCGCTGTATTACTGCGCACTGACGCCCACAGTGACAGGAAACTCATCTACACTGTACAAAAACGTCCTCAACAATACAACTCTATCCTCATAAACTGAAGTTTCAGAAAAGGGCCAGTGCATCACAAAACACTTAAAATATCATACAGCAGTTCAGACAGTGGTGGTATATGTAAGAAAAGTAGCAGACTATAATGCATCTAAACATCTAATGCAAAAAAAGAGAATGCATCTATAAATACGTGAATTGATAAATAGATATGAGAAAGCACTAGCCAGTGAAAGTTACAGTAATAATAATAATAAACTAAGCTAATTTGGTAACAGACCTCACAGACAGTTACATGATGAAATGCAATAATCCAATCATTATTTACTAACGCCATTTCTTTTGATCTATTCCCTCCAGATTCAAAACAATAAAAAACATAAACCAGTAATGATGCAGATGTTAATGTGGAATTGAAATCCATGTGCAACCTGCTTTAAAAAAGTATACTTTATACATGTATATGGTTTCAGCAGACAGATGTAAATCATGCAAGTCTTTTCTAATTATAAATCTGAGATGCTGATGATCTAAACAGTAGAAGCTCCTCCTATAAAGTTTTTAGGTCTACTACATCACAGAGATGCCAAAACAAGAAGAGACTCAGAACTCCTCAGTATATTTTATGACTTTGGTGATTGGAAAGCACAACAGAAATAATGACATACTGGCAAAGGGTGGTTATCTTTCTATTCACATATTTCTGGGGTAAGTGGCATAACGAAATATGTGTGGTTTAAGTTTCATTTTTATATTCACTGTGTGTGAGATTTTTACATTTCATTAAAACATTTTTTTTAAAATTCTATTTTAGGCTGTGATTCTCTGGACAGTGTTGAACAGAAAACAAGAGCTCAAATTGCTTTTGAAGGTGAATCTGTAACAATCAACTGTACATATTCAACCACTGATTCATTTCCATATCTCTTCTGGTACCAGCAAGAAATAAACGGATTTCCTAAATATATGCTAAAGAAATTTCCTGGATCTGGTGAGATTGATGAACAGTTTAAAGAGAGATTTGATGCCAATCTCAACACCTCTACAACATCAGTTCCTCTGACAATCCAGGATGTGTGTGTGTCAGACTCTGCTGTGTATTACTGTGCTCTGAGGCCCACTGTGACTCAAACACACTCAACACTCATACAAAAACCCTCCAGATACAAAAGCCCTATTAAATATTCTTGATTCGTCTTTGGACTAAGTCTATAATTTCAAACTATTCTACTTCATTACATAAATCGTTTTACCCATTTACCCATTACATTTGACATTAACTTTATCCTATAATAAATTATATTTAGGCAGGCATTTAATGTCAAAACAATCCACAGTGATCAATATTCTGTTAAAACACATACACTGCAGTGTATTTGGTTATTACTATAAATCTATTATGATGAGTAGAAATGAAACTCACATTTCAGTGCACATTTCTGTCAAATAATGCACATATTAATAATAACCAATTGCGCACCAGAAGAGGGCGACATATACTCATCATTCAGCTCTTCAAAACAGGGTTATTATTATATCTTAAACTAAAACTAAAACAATAAAACACATTTTCATTACTTGAAATAAATGCTTTTTTTATTTCAGCTAGTTGCCAAAGCAACATTTACCATTTTCAATCAGTTTAACTTGATGTGCTAAAATAATTAAAACTGAAACTGAAATTAAATCGAATACAAACTATATTCAATTGGGGTGCTTATGTCACTGACTACACTTCATCTGCACTGTTTTATTTGTTTTTAAAGATGCATACACACAACATGTTTGATTATACTTCATCAACAACAACAACAACAACAACAACAACAACAACAACAACAACAACAACAAACTGAAATGTATTATTTAAAAAATGTTGAGAAGATAGGTCATAAAAATGGTCAATCTAATAACAATATTTTATGTATTTTGGTCAAATACATCCTATACTCACTGAACTCATTGTTAAAGATGTCACTCTCACATCCAGCACTTTACTATTGTGCTATATATTCTCAAATAATCAATTAATGACGGGACAATACATAACACCCATTAATTGTACATGAAAAACAGACAAAAACTTTAGAGATTGTAACGGGATCGTTGTTCTGTTCCTCATGTGTGAAATGTAAAACTTATGATGTGTCTCAGAGAGGAGGGACTACACAGATCTGACACAATCTGATCATACAGACTGTAGAAACAATTCAGTCTGAATCATCTTAAAGTGAACACAGTGCACTGAGCAATGGATATTTATTCAGTTATTCTCATATACAGTCTGACATGTATGTATACTTAAATGTAATATGTATATTGTTAATGATGAGTTTAATTAAAACAAATCTAATTAAAAATTTACCTTTTTCGTATTTCTTTTTCAGCTGCTGTGTTGGGAAACATCACACCGAAGAAAACAGAGCTTTTTACTGAGGAGGGTTCAAATGTTACATTATCCTGCAGTTATTCCTCTGCAGATTATCTATACTGGTACCGTCAGTATCCCGGATCAGCTCCTGAATTTCTTGTGCTCATCTTCGATGGTGCAACAATCACCAAAAAGTCTGATGTAGATCCAAGACTGTCTGTTAAACTCACTAAAGGGGAACAAACCCATGTGGATCTGGATATCTCCTCTGCTGAAGTGTCAGACTCTGCTCTGTATTACTGTGCTCTGAGGCCCACAGTGACAGGAAACACATCAGCTCTATACAAAAACACCTTACTCAGTGAGAGAGAGCAAGAAAATAGCTGATAGTAAGTCAGTCTGTAAGTTGAAAATGATATTACATCCATACAACACACTAGGCTACTGTCCTTCACTTTTGCATGCACTCAGGGGCGGACTTAACGATTAGGCAAAGGTCGGCAATTGCCTTGGGCCCCGAGCTACCTAGGGGCCCCCAAAATGCCCCATTAAATTATGCTTAAGTTTTTATTTATTTTTTACTTTTCGCAAATTATATATTTCTAAAAAACATTTGCGAAAAAAGGCATCAAATCATTAGTCTCGCAGACAGGAGGGGGCCCCCACCTCACTACATTGGACTATTCCATTATCTCACTTTCTGCGTGCGAAAGTGACAAGGCTAATACGCCAAAAACTGACGGAGAAAAATAAGTTATTGGCAGACAGTGTAGGCTACAGAGTGACAGACAGAGAAGCTACCCAAGCGGTGCTGAAAAGGCAGGAAGCGGGAGGAAAGCAAAACGTTTTTAGCAAAATTGCAGAAAGTAACAAACTTTTTTGTGATGCCCGGTATGTGCTAACGATATGTTACAAGTCCATGGCCGTAGCCAGCTATAAGGTGACCGAGGTCCGGAACTGTCATATTTTACATTCAACAATAAAATGTCAAGCTCTCTGAATGATTAATTAGCCGTTTAAACCACCTCATATGAGTGTTTGCAATTCATGTTGCTGCGAGAAGCTAGCGCAGTGAACGGGGCTTGAGAGCGCGCTGTGAGTGAGGGCGCGCGTGCAGCCTCCGTACGTGTTGCCAGATCCACCTAATGGAAAGGTGGCAGTAGTCTTCTGGACTTGTTTTTTCTGATTTAATGTGACACTTTAGGAAATTATTAAAGTGGAAAGTTGCACGTTAGGGTTAGTGATATATTAATCTTATTTCCAAAACACAAGCTTTGAACTTATTTCGGATTATTATTATTTTGTTTTCTTGTTTTTCGTAGCAATATCTGGCAACATTTTACTGTCTGCATTAATAAAAAAAAGCTTATAGACAAACTGTAATTGCATAAAGCTACCACATTCGGTAGTAAGACAAACGCAATGATCATCGTGATTATCTGTAAGAAATGTATAACACTAGCAAAAACAATAATACAGATCTGTATGAATGAAATTTGCCAAATAACTTACTGGCCAGCAGGAAGACGGCTCATGCTGTTTAGTTAACCTTTCACAAAGTCATCATAAAAACATTAATTAAAGCAGTGTTTCTCAACTAGCAATCTATTCAGTCAGCATATTTGTGTTTGATCTCTGTGAATTACAGAAATATAAGACTTGCTAGACCTACTTTTTTTCTATATTTCTTTGCACAAACCTCTCCAGAAAGTGCCATTTACTAGTTTATTTAAAAAAAAAAAAATCTGAATTTTTTTTTTTCGTTCTCTTTTAAAGATCGGATGGCGGGGCCCCATACTACCTTCGCCTTGGGCCCCCAATTTGCTAAATCCGCCACTGCATGCACTCCAAGTAATTTAGACTAATATAATATTATAGCCTAATATTTAGGCTATAATATTATAGCCTGCTATAGTATGGTAGTGCTATACTATGGTAGCACTGGCCGAGTACCAGGCGCTTATCAAAACTCAGCCATTTGAACTTCTAAAATTTTCACTTTATTTCATTTAGTTTATCTTCTGTTAGCAATGCTAGCCACGTTAGTAACACCCGTTTGAAACAAGGCTTCATTCAATATTGCACTCACAACAAGACCGATTCCCATACCCACAGGTAGTGATACGGACGCAGTAAGGTATTGCAGTAATACGAGTGATTAAAATCTTCATTTAAACAACCAAAGCGGTCCAAAAACAATGAAAACAATTCATGCTAAAAGTCACACAGGGCGCAGCCATCTTGGATTCCGAATCAGAATTCTTGCTCGGTGTCCTCACGGTTGTCCGAAATCCGAGCGGGAAAGTCCGAGGAAAGGGGGCGTGTTGGTGCGTGTTGCTAGGCAACGTCTGTCTTCCTAGTCGGAACTCCGACGCTGATAAATAATAGAACGCACCATTACCCCCCAAACCACACCCCCAAACCCTTCTTGTTTGTCCTTCTTGTTTGCTGGAACAGTTTGTTATGTTTCGTGGTGCGGGTAAGCCCAGTTTGTTTTTGTTGCCGTTTGTGGAGCCTGGGGTGTCTGCAGAGACCGCGTTTTTTTACTGTGTGTTCAGGGGACAGGCAGCTAGCGGATAGTGAGGAGATGTTTGCTGTATGTGACAAAAAATGTTTTGGCCTAAAAAACGCGTGACATCGCTTAGAGCACCTTTAATATCACGCATATTAATATCACGAAAGATCCACGCTGGCTTGTGCCTTCTTAATGAATTAGTTTTTTATTATACAAACAAAGCACGTATACATCGAGATCAAACGTTTCAGCATATTCACAAACACCAAATTAAATCACCAAA